ATTTTTTAATAATAATTATTAAAAATTAGGAAAAAGTAACAATTCGTATTGTAAAATTCCTGCTATGCATTTTGCTTGTTTAACTTTCTCAATTTTTCTCGGTGAGGTAAATAGATGCTGAACAAAACGGTTAATGTATCTTACGCATTTTATTTGAAAAAAAAAATAAACGCGTATTTATTTTATATCATAACAGAGTCTAATAAGTGGTCAGTATGTTGAAGTTTTTATAACTAAACTGTGTTTTAATTTTGCTCATTTATTTGCTTTTGCAATACATGAAAAGTCTCAATAAATGGTTTTATTTCGTAAAAAAAATAATTCAATCCTAAAAATCAATGACATAGAAATTAAGTTTTCATTAGGTAATCTGTTGTTCGAATTTAAAGCAAATTAAATAATACAAATAATGATTGAGACATCAGATTAGACACAAAGTAATTAGAACAGGAAAGAGCCTTGCACTTAGACTAAATGATCTTAACGGAAATCAGCAGAGATCTAAAATACTTCCAAAAAAGCTCAAGAGTGATACGATATACTCAACAAACAGTTTCGCAATAAATTCTGCTTACTTAAATGGGTTGCACTATGAACAAAGTCTTTTTTTTATTTTTTATTTATTTTTAAACAAAAATAGGGCGTATGTAAAGTTAAATGCAATTTCGAATTTGTAAAATACTTATTGGCTTTAAAATGCTAGAAATAAGATTATCTATCACGAATATGGCATTTAATATTTACTAAATAATATTTCACTAGTATGCACTAATAAAGTAGGTACTTAATCATTTGCTTGCTTGCTTTCGTATGCCTGTTTAGGCAGAGGGGTGCGATTGTTCTTGTTTTCCAGTGGCGCCATCTATGGCCAAGAATTCGACTTCTGCCACATTCATACATCACACCCGTTTATAGGGTGGACCCATTCATTCATCCACATATCGTAATTTTGACCTTAGTCAGAGAACGATCGATCTCCAATCCAGTACCCCCAGAGGTTTTGATTTGTTATGGGAACATGAAGGACCTTGCGACTCGAAAGATTTAACGTGCATCAGGCACCATTTACTAAACGGGAAGAGTTTGGCCTCCGGGATTCGAACCCATGAACTCTCGGACATGGGTCCAGCGCCCTACCGACCAGGCTATCCCGGCCCACTTAATCATTTAATTCACTGTTAAAATTGGTCGAAATATAAAGAATATTATGAATAAACTATATTGTCAGTAAGATTCTTTTTCTAAATATAGCTCAAATAGAGTATTTAAGATAATGGGGATAGCTCAGAAGGAGTGCTTAATGCAATGGACACAGCTAAAAATGAGCTCTTAAGAAAATGGACAAAGAAATTCAAGAAAAATTAAAATAGCATTTGATTCCGTTAAATATATATCTCTTATGAAAATTGTTCTTTTTTTTGAAAAAAAATGAACTAATTGATCCAAATAAAGTAGTAATGTGCATGTTGTTTATTTGCATTAATCACTTAGACATTTTTTTTCTTGAAGTAGTCTTCTTTGAAACTATTTTTAAGCTCGACAATTGTTGTTTTACAAGATTGCCCCTGATTGTATTAGTTTATAACAGTGATATTAAATTTACGTTGTGTGAATTTCAATTTTTAAAAACGACTTTATCGTTTATTGATCGGTACTATCACTTGTTGATTGTTTTGTTGAAATGTTGCATGCGTAATAAGACCAAGCAACCCTGATTCCAAACTCCGGATTTTTCTCCTTAATGATTCTGCTTAGTGTTTGAAAAAGTAAAGAGCAATACGTATGAAATTCCATGTTTAGTTGTTAAATTTGAGTTGAATATTGAAAAGGAGCACTTTTGCTGTTTTCATTGCTTTAAAATCTCCTTTTACGCTGTAATCGTTATTTTGAACTCGTGTTTTGAGATGTGTTCAGAGTAGAAAGTGCAAAGACGATATTTTATTCATTCAGTTTTATATCTAATAAACATTAGTGATAAATAGAAGTAGGTTTACTTAGGCAAATTGTTTGATTTAAACAAATAAAAAAAATCCTCACACAGAACCAGGTTTTCAACTAGATTATCTGTAGCAGTAATTTAGAGCGAATAAAATAATCCGAATATCGATTAAGAGGTCAGATTAGACAAATAACTAGCGGGTTTATTAGAACGGCGAAGTGCTTTCGTAAATTAAAAGATAGTTGGAAAAATCAGAAACGATCTATAAAACATGTAAAAGAGATCATAAGGAATTTGATGTTATCCACAAGCGTCATAACAATAAATTCTGTTAAACTCGAGGGTCTGCCCAATGCTCAGAGTTTAATTCAAAATTCTGTGCAAGTAGAAATGAATAAATAGTATCTGATCTGTAAAACAATTAATTATAAATTGCTGAAAATAGAATATTTACTGAATAAATGAAAACGAAATGAGATTAATTTGTTTCAACATGTTAACGATTCTTCTAAAATTCTGAACAAATTTAAAAATAATATGTTTACAGCAATAGAGATAAATACTACGAATACCTTGCACAATGATAAATAAGAAAAGAAATAAATGTGTAAAGATCACTCAAGTTGTGGCTGGGAGAAAGGTGGGTGTTAATTAAAAATTGCTAACTTATGAAGAGGATACTGGGATTGAAAAAAATTACGGATGGTAAGGAGCTCATATTGTCATAAAATAATGCTTCAGTTTCATCAAATGCATCAACGTGATTAAAGATGTGAAATAAATTCCTAATTTTATATTTTAAAGTCCATTAATAGATATACATATATACCAATTAAATATCATTTGAGTTAGAAAAAAAACTTTTAAAATGAAGGAATCAACATCGAGATGCATTTTTTAGATCTATTCAGTGAAATTTGGGAAACCAGTTTATTTGTCGTTTAGAATTAATGGACCATTTGGGCTCAGCCTGAATGATTTAGTGGCCAACGGTAGTGTGGTCGGCATTGCTCACAAACCACCTTTTCTTCCCTTACAAGCTGTTATACATCGGGTGGGCTTCAAGCCGTAACTGAAGATTGAAGTCCAGCTAATCAGTGAGTTTAAAAACTGAGTTATTCCATCGAATAAATTAATTACTTCACCTAAAATACTAATATTAATCTCGATAATAATTCGTAACATTCATGTATAGCTTCGTCGGTATCATTACACAATTTCTTATTCACTTACTATTGTAATAAAATTCGTATTTTTCATTAAAATATCTTGCTTTTTGATAAAGTGTTTCAAAGTATTCTTTTGTGCATTATTTTACATTTCAGTATATCCAGTTTTTAGTTTTAAAACATTTGAACTTTAAAAAGTATTACCCCCAAGATACAAAATTTCAGGAAATTTGAACTATTAGGGATATAACAATGTAAAGAATAAGGTTCACGTTGATTTTAAATTTTTTTTTCTTAAATAACTAGCTGTTTTCACTCGCCAATCCCCGTGGTATCTTTTCATTATTTTTTTCTTATTTTACCGTTAAAATTCAAAGTTTTCAAGTAAATATCATTTTGTACATAAAACATGTAATGATTTAAATTTTGTTTATAAAACATGTAATGATTTAAATTTTATTTACGAACATTTGTTTCTATGCTAATCTTAATGAAATGAGCAATTATTTGTATTTTAAAAACATCAACTGCATTTGAAAATTTTTTTAACTCTGAAACGTAGAATGTATGGCGCAACAAGAAGTAATAAATGGGAATTAATTTTACTTGCATCAAACTATAACGATAACCATAAATTAATTACTAAAAATATGTATACATGTTACTGTAAATGACCGAAATTGATGGTTGTTGATTTCCACCGGTGAATGTCGACAATCATATAGTCGCTATATATGCTAGTCGCTATATCGCTATATATGTCCGAAGTATATGCTAGATCTAGTAAAGTAGTTAACTTCCCCGGTATACATTTGTCCGGTATGCCCTACATCAATGTTCTTTTAAGGTCAAGTGCCACTGCCCAGTAAACATTTGACCGTAACTCCGAACACTGAGGTTTCTCCTAATCTATCCTCAGTAGATATTGCAATATCTAATATATGTAATAGTATTAACGAATAAATTAATATCAAATTGGATATAACGAATATTTCGGACATTCACTAAAGCGACTATGTAATTGTCGGTCATTCACGGTAACATATATATATANGACATGATGTTGCTTTCCGGGGCGAACTTATGATAGTCAAAATTTTTCCCATGCAAGTATCTCTTTCCACACACATACACACACACACATATATATATATATATATGTAAAATTAGTTTAAGTTTTAACTTTATTTTCATGTGTATTATTCTCAGATGCATTCAAATCTATTAAATCCAAGTCTACTTAAGATTGCTAAATTTCAGAACCATGAATGGAATACTATAAGTTAAAAATCAAAATTTTAATATAATGGTATTTTGTATGAGATGCTATAGTCAAAAAAATATAGTCGATAAGAAAATATATATATATATATATATTTATCTTTAAAAATTACGTCTAAGAAATGTATCTCAAAGCGATATGGACGAAGTGGATAGTTGACTTTCAATCTTTGCTCAATTTTATCTGACAAGAACCGGCGAAATTAATAAAGTGTCTAGACCGTCTGGTCATGTAGACTTTTGTTTTTTATTTCTCTTATTAAATATACCAAAGGAAAAGTCATAAAATCTTAATAAATAAATATATCTTATCCATCGAAAGAGCATTTATCCCTTCAGAAAAGTCAAAAGGACGTAAAAGATTTCAGTGAGGAGAAGTAGACGATTTCATCGATTGAGAAAAGAAAATTACGAAAAAGGGGGCCAACATACGCCGCCCCGCACCTCTTTTACGTTTTCTCCTTTTCGCTTGAGTTCGAAAGGTTAGAACAACTATAAATTTAATTCACATCTGTCTGTAGTTTTGTATTTTATTTCACTTTTTTCTTCACAAAACACGTTTTGCCCTATCGCATCGGCACGCATGCGCGGGCGGGGGCCAGTCGAACCAGCAAGGAGCTCACTAGACTCACTCGGTGACCGGTTACGGTCGCAGTCAGACGAATTTTAAATGATTCCACTTTCCCTGTGACATCTGACGCATGGTGGAGCGTAATATTAGGCAGACGATATTTTAATTTGTTCCTATTGTTTTGTTTTATTTTGACCTTCCTATTATTTTTCGAACGTTTTTCCCTTATTTTTTTTTTATCACACAGTCTTGTTGAAGCTACATTCTAAAGAGGGATATTTTATTAAATAAATGTGAACTTATACGTGCATGTGAACAATTGAAACTATGAACATGAGGATATTATCTTTTGCGGTGATCGGAATTATAGGGCTCATCGTCAAAGGAGATGGTGAGTAAATATTTCAAGCTACGAATTTTTTCTAATTTCTTTTAATATAACGATATCTTTAAAAGTGACATGGGAGGTTTGGTTTGAAAATTTTAGATTTTTTAAAATTTTATTTTTAGTTTTTCAGTAAAATTTAAAAATTCTTAAGCGTGTTCTTCAATTATAACCAAAAAGAAATTCGATTGCTAAATACTACAAAATTTATATGGATACATGATGTTAGGGAAAAATACAAAAAAATTGTCTCAAATGCCAACAAAAATTTTTATCGAGAGACGAATAATAAAAATATAAATAAGAAAAGGCATTGGTCTCAAATGGTCTCAAAGGTTTCTTCTCTAAACCTAATGTCTAATATATTTTGAAATAGAAAATGATTTTTTGCGGATTCTTCTCTATTTAATGCATAATTATTTCTGTCTTAATTTTAAAATTTATCAATGCTGAACTTAGACTTATAGTCGACTATCATTACATACATTATTATTATTATTTTTTCTTTGTTTTCATGCCTCTACTTTTTACAGTACTATATTAGAATATATTATTCTACTTTTTAGAATATATGTAGCTCTAAACTAAATAGATAGATAAATAGAGAGAGAGAGAGAGAGAGAGAGTAGTAAGCAATTGCTTCTCATAAATAAAACGTAAAATTAATAAATGTAAATATAAACTTATTATATACTTATTGGTTTTCAAATCGATATTTTGTATGGTAGAATTGTGGTCACTCTTTATGCAAATTTTCAATACAGTACAACTATTTTTTTAAATGATTTGCATCTAGATTGTTTGTAACCAATTTCGAGAAAATGATTTATTCCATCGAATTTCGTATCGTTATTTGGTTTTGGAATTATTTGGTTTTTTGAATTTCGCATCAGGAGGTCGGTTTTGGTATTTTTCTGTTTGACGCGATGGATTTAACGAGAAAACAAGTAATTTCATAATCATCGGAAAGCTCATTACTCTCGAAAAATTCCAAATATTCTAAGGCTTTTTGACGCATGGTGTAATTTAGTGATCTATGAACTTCTGAGCTTTGAGAGTGTATTTCATGGCAGTTCATATTTTATAAACAAAGAAAAATGGTCAATCGTTAGATTTCGAAGATCACCTAAAGTGCACACACATGTGCAAGGTGATCATCCACTTTGCTTTCCAGATAAGGATATCTGCATAATCTCTTTGTACAATCACGCTCATTGCAGAAGAGTTAAAAAAAAGAGAATAAGTGATAAGATATTTCGACTTTACTTTCAGCCAAAGCTCCCATATCGGGACTGACGAGCAGGGAGGTTGCTATAAACTAATTATAATATTTTTTTTAAATTCGTTTTTGGCAGCTATTAAAGATGACTTACTTCTAAGGATTTTCCGCTTTTATGACAAAAAATATTTTTAAGGAATGGGTTCAAAAAAGATGAAAGGATAAAAGTCAAATTTCTCTCATTATGCATATCTTCATTATGAAGTTAGAATACTCAAAATAAATTTTTCATTCTCATAAAATTAAATAAACATAATTATTGTTTATATTTAGTGATACATATTTAAAAATTAATCGATTAAGGCCATGCACGAGAAATTAAGAGTTGTTGTTCCCATAAGCGGTAGCTTTGGCGTTTAGTGGGTTGAAATCATAAAGGAATGAATATTTAATTTGAAAAGTAATCCGAAGAAATTTTTCTCTAGGTTGATACATTAACAATAAATAACTTGAAAACATTTTTTCCCTAGCAATGCTTATATTATTATAACCAATCAAATAGAAACAGTTTTTATCTCTTTTAAGGAATGTTTTTTATTCTTTTTAAAATTTCAATATAAATGTTCTGATTTATATCTGAGATCATTTAATCTTTCTCTTTTCTTTACTTTCTACATCAACTCAAGCACGAGCTTATAAAACAAAGATCTCGAGAGATACAAATTTTCCTGTACCTTTGTAAAATAGTTGTTATTTAAAGCAAAAAAGTGAGAAAAATTCGCCGAAAAAGCACCTAAACTTTGAATAACTTTGGAACAAATTTGAATTTCGAGAACGTTATTTTTTATAGCAACTTACTCCCAGGACTATTTTTGCAGAGCTTTGTTACTTTAAATTTGTAATAATTAAAGTTTTAATTTCAAGTTCTTATAACTTTTTTTAATTATAGATAGATAATTTAAATGTTCAATGTATTTCCACGTAATGCTTGTAAAACTTTCAATTTTTAAATTATACATCCCGCATTTGTAAATCTAATTAAATGGTTTATAAATATTGTTTTGGTTTATGCCATCACACTAATGGGTTATATATGACGGTTTAGGATCCATCGTTACTGATGACCTGAGGACAATACCATGCGAATACACAATCATATTCTCCGGTTCTCCGCACTACGCCTCCAACCACCCAAAATGCCGTAAAATTCACCCGACATTTAAATCGTCGTGGGTATTATAATAGTTTAAGCTTTCTGCAAGGGGAATCGAATCCAGAATGTAAATATACTAACCCACAAGTTTGACGCGCTAATCGTTCAATTCCATGTTGTCTCCCTATAGCCTAGAGAGCAGTGGTTACCAACTGGTGGCCCGCTGGCCGCATCCGGCCCACGAGACCTTTTTTGTGGCCCGCGAACTCAAATATATTAGTTGACATTTTTTTGCGGACAATTTTCGTAAAAAATCTATATGGGTTTAAAGTATTTTTCGTTCGTTTAAAAAAAAAAAAAAAAAAAAAAAAAAACTACTTTCTTTGTTTCTGTGAAATTTAACAGACCAAGGGTGCAAAAAATTTTTTTCTCGGGTTTTGCATCCAAGAAAATATTTATTTAAAAAAATATTTATTATTATTTGTAATTCAATACTTATGTTTTGAACAACTTCATAAAAATCTGACAGTAATATTTAATGTTCCTTCAAACATAAAGGAGTCCTATGTAAATTTTTTGATAAATTCCGAATTTGCGGCCCGCAATTTGACTGGTGTTTTTAATTGTGGCCCCCCGGCCTCGTGTATGTTGGAAAAATTCCTGCTATAGAGGATGACCTAATGAATTTTGTTTGCAGGCTTATAAATTTAGTATTTTTCCATTACGTATTTTTTCACTGGTACTTTTTCTGAATTAAATTGTGTGACATTTATAGCCACTTTGGGGTGGAAAAAAATATCCCAACTACCGAAGAAAAATTAATTATTGCAGTGATGTAATAGAAAAATTTAATGCCGCAAAGTCGAAACATCAAAATACTTTTAAATGAGTTTTGCTATTAGAAAAGCAATATTTTACTTTCGATTTCTCAAACTCTTAAGTCAAAAATGCCGGCATCCACCCTTACATTTCCCTACCTACAAAATAGACCACCTTAGCGAGGCTGCTGGAAATTGAACGACAGCGACTGGACGGCATATAAATATTCACTGATTTGATTAAAATTACTATTAGTCATATCAAAATAGAAATTTTGAAAGATAGGATATTCTAAAAAAGAAATCACTGATTTTTGGAAAAAAAAAGGGCCACCTACCGACCTTTAAACCTTTTTCCTTCTCATAAAATATAAACAAAGTAAACCCATTTGTATGATTTCATTTCCTTCCGTCAGGAAGGAAATGTAATAATATCATTTCCACATCGTTGCATTTGATATTTATAGGTAATCCTACCTGAACGTCATGGTTCAGGAAGCACTTGATAGAACACAGCCGTGAATTTTATTATATCTTCTTTTTATTTCGTTAAGGCGGTAGATTACCATATTATTGCATAAGAGAACTTTTCAATTGTCAATTATAAAAACACTTAACTCTATACTATCAGAATAAATACGCGTATTAGATATGTATAAACGACAAAACAATTTATCGACTGAGCTGTTTATGTTTCGTCTCATTGACGATTGCAGAAAAGCTTAGTTGGATCTTTTTATGCTCGTTAGATTTGATGCTTTACGTATTTAATTTTGTGACAGATAAGGTTTCGATTTTTCGTGCAATTAGCATTTTCCATGCATATTTAATTAAGTTGGTAGCAAACATAGTTTTTTTAAATATCTGATTGCATCAACTACTTTTTGGTTAGATATCGCACATAGTTTTATTTTCCTTAGTTATAAGTTTTTGCATGTTGGTGGTGTTTTGCAACTAAGTCAAGACGTTGTTACAAATAATGTAATAATCCATAAACAGTTATCTAGACAATATTGTAATAATCTATTAAATTGTCTATGATTTTTGTTCTTCTTTTTATATATTTACATAACTCCTATGTTTGTCCCGCGGTGGAGTAATGGTTTAGTCAATGAGCTATCATTATGATAGATTAGGGCTCTTTCCCTAATGACCCCGATCTGAATCAAGGTAAGCACTCTGCTTACGTTTTTTTTTAATCAATACATATAGTACCAGCTAATTTGGGATATCAAAGCGTTTGAATGTTTCGGATGCAAAGGACGTTGAAATTGTAAACTGCATAGTCAACATTTGTCTCAAAATTTAGGAATCTTAGCCTCTGTAGCCCCACTGGCAAACAATTGGAGAGTGACTTAACTAATTTGTTTACTTCTTTCTATTTTCATATTAGACATTCCAGACATTTGCATACTGCAGTATTCTTCATTTGAACTGTTAAAGATTTTTTTTTAAAATATCTCTCTTTTGCATTTGATATTTCGTTTAAGTATTTTTAAAAATTTTCAGATATTATTAATTATGCGAAAACATTTCTACAATGTTGCACGATTCCTTACTCCATTAGTTTTGATTTATTGTTTTATAAAATTTTCGGAGATTTGTCAGCATTTATTAACATTTCTTATTATATTTAAAACTTTTTTTTATTTTAATTTTGACAATATTGGGATATATTTTTTTTATGTAGAATTGTTTTAAGGATGATTTTTTTAAGGTGTTATTCTTAAGCTAAGCATTCAGTTTATGTAATATGAATAAACTAAAAACTTACTTTTATTTCTTCTTAATTTTTGTCGAACAATATCAACAATGT